ATTGAAAGCATTCAGTCTTTCACTATTATGTTAGTTGTAGGTTTCTGCAGATGCAGTTTGTGAAGATGGGGAAGTTGTCCTCTATTCTTATTTTTTTCTTACCATTTTATTTATGAGTGTTGTATTTTTTCAAAAGTTTTTTCTGTATCAATATATGCAGTTATATATATATCTATAGATAGATATGTGATCAACATATATTGACATGTTCATGTGATTTTTCTTCCTTAGCCTGTTAATATATTGGTTGATAGTTTGAATAGTGTACCAGGCTTGCATACCTGAAATTAACCTCTCTTGGTCATGATGTATAATTCTTTGTATATATTGCTAAATTTATAAAATTTAAAATGTATTGGAAATTATAAAATTTCTAAAATTTTAACATTTTGGAAATAATTTCTATGTTTAGCCAGATACAGTGGTATGTGCCTGTAATCCCAGATATTTGGGAGGCTGAGGCAGGAATATTGTTTGAACCTAAGAGTTCAAGGCCAGCCTGGTCAACATAGTAAGACCCTTTCTCAAATTAAGTAAATAAATTATTGTTTTAAAATTTTAAAAAAATAATATTTATATTTATATTCGTAAGGGCTATTGGAGTGTAGTTTTATTTTTTTGTACTGTCTTCATATGATTGTAATATCAGGATAATACTAGTTTTATAAAGTGAATTGGGAATTATCCTATGTGTACAATTTTGAGTTGCACTAATATTGTACTTTGAATTTTTTTCTATGCAATTAAATAACACTTGAAAATCTGATTTTTAATGTCTGAATAATAAGTTAGTTGTAGGAACTTACTCTTCTTTATCTAACTTTTTCCTGTTTTTTATTATTTAGAACTTAAAATTTTTTTATTACTAATGATTCTGCGGTGAGCATCTTCCTATATATCGTGTGAACTTGTCCTATTTATTCTTAGAATTTGTAATAGATATAGTTTATAGACTTCATATTGATTAAAACATAGCATTTAATATTTAGATTAGATTAAATTTCATATTTAGATTAGGGTTAATATGTAATCATGTATTTGTTATTATCATAAATGAGACCCTTTTATGGATCTACAAGACCAAAACTGATTTCATACTTAATTGCCTTTTTTAATGTGTTGTCATTTGCACTGATGGTGCAAAAGCAATGGTGAGTAAAACTGCTACTGCCTTAGAATCAAGGCAGTGGCACCAAACTGTCCTAGTAGTTACTGTATTTTGACCATCGTGCATCTGCAGGAAAAAAAAAAAAGAAGCCATACTTAGTTAAGAATATCTTAGATGCAGTAAAAATAAATTTATTACTTTTTGATCCTCAAATATAGGTCTTTTTAATACTCTGTGTGAAGTAAATGAAGTACACATAATGCTCCATATAATGGTTTTAAGGAAGAGCATTTGTGAGTAATCCTGTTCACAATTGTTTGCGCTGTCAGCTCAATTAGATGCTTTTTCTTTTATGGAATACCATTTTTACTTGAAAGAATGACTGACAGACAAATTGTGCTTATTCAGACTTGTGTATTTGGCAGGCATTGTCTTTCAAATTAAGTAAGCCTATCATATCAAAGAAAACAACTGACAACAGCTATTGCCAAAGATAAAATCCAAGTGAAGACAAACTACAAAGGAAAACTAAACTTCACCACTTTCAGTTTGACAACTTCTGAATACATTGTATAACGGAATAGAAAGACTCTTCGATGAAATTGATGATGATATTAACAAATTTTTAATTGATTTTTGATGTATAATGAAATGAATCAGCATTCGGAAAATCTGCATAACTCAGTGAGCTGGTATTTGCCAAATGATTAACGTGTGATGTTGAAAATCATGTCTGAGTCGTATCATAGTTTCATTCAAAGTACATACAAGATAGACCAGTGGATTTTAATGTAACAGGGTAAAGAAAAAGTTTATTGATAAAGGTTTTAGATTATATATTGCAACAAACTTTTAAAAAACTATCACTTATCAAGTAAAGGAGAATATACACAGTTATCGTAAAAAGGTTATTAAAGTATTCCACCATTTTCCAACTAAATATACTCCAACCAAAACAACATATGGCAACAGATTGAAAGCTGAAGTAGATGTGAGAGTCCAGCTGCCTTTTATTAAGTGAGACATTAAAGAGATTTTTTTAAATGTAAAACAATATCTGTCTTTTTGCTAATTAAAAAAATATACTATAATCTCTTCCTGGCCTTTTGGCTTAGATCAAATGAAAATAAAAACTATCATATTTTTCCTCACAAAATGTTATTTATGTTAACATTTAAAGGATTTTTGTTATATTTAAATTAAATATTTTAAAAGTTTTTAAAAATTCATATTGTAGTAAATATGGATAGAGATAACCTATATAAAGGTTAAGAAACTACCAGTTGTCAGGTGGGCACGGTGGCTCACGCCTTGTAATCCCAGCACTTTGGGAGGCCGAGGCGGGTGGATCACGAGGTCAGGAGATCCAGACCCTCCTGCCTAACACAGTGAAACCCCGTCTCTACTAAAAATACAAAAAAATTGACTGGGCGTGGTGGTGGGCGCCTGTAGTCCCAGCTACTCAGGAGGCTGAGGCAGGAGAACAGTGTGAACCCGGGAGGCAGAGCTTGCAGTGAGCCGAGATTGCGCCACTGCACTCCAGTCTGGGCGACTGAGCAAGACTCTGTCTCAAAAAAAAACCAAAAAAACAAAAAAAAACAAAACAAAACAGAAACTACCACTTGTCAAGTAAAGAAGAATAAACACACTTTAACTTATGTTATAGTAAATACTGATAGTGGTAACCTATATAAAGGTCTTCAGTACTATCTAAAAGCTAAAGAGTCTATATGACCAAAACGTTTGAGAACTTCTGGCCTACGGGATACAATCCAAACCTCTGTATAATCCTTCTGTCATGGCTTCTGCCACCTCTCCTCACATCTCTTCTGTCTCATTTCCTTTCCACTCTATTATTCAGTAAGATGAAGATACTTTTATTCCAGAAGAACTATGGTGTTTACATCTCTGGACCTTTGCTTAATGCTCCTTTTGCCTGGAATATGTATTTTTCTCCAAGTCTTTTTATAAAGTACTGTCTCCAAATGCCTCTTGGCATCATTTCAGTTCTAACCTCTCTGTACCTGTTATTCTATCTTTATAATTCTATCTATTGGTATGCTATATAATATGTTTTGGGTTTCTATGTCCAAAATAATTCAGTATCTTTCTCCTTATTAATTTGGTTTCATCATTACTTGTTTTCTTCTTAAAGGTGCTGTCATTCTTCCATTCACTTGGATTCAAAATCTTGAAATCATCTTTTACCCTTCTTTCATCTTCATACTCTGTATCTAGTTTGATCGTATTGCTTCTTGTTTGAAAATATCTTATATTCATTACCTCCTTCTTTCTCTACTGCTACCATCCACGCTTTGAAGTTCAAAATAAGAGAGAAAATATTTAAATATATCTTGGCCTGTTTTTTTCCAACCAGCATTCTGAATGATTTCAAAAGCTTTTGCTATTCTTTCCACTACTTATTCTTCTCTTCAGACCAGCTTGCTCATCACTATTGCATTAGTGACCTTCCTAAAATACTACTTTTATTTTGTATTTTCTCATTCAACATTTTTAGTAACTCTTCATTTCTTTTGGCAGTGTTTCTTTTTGAAGGAAAGCTTTTCTTGTGGACTCTCAGTGTTGACATAAATTATTTTAACTTTAGTAATACAACTTAAATATGTCCAAATTAAAACTAAATACAAATTTTTGCACATAAAACTACATAACTAAAATAATTTGCAAATTCATAGCAAGCAAAACTATAAAACAAAATTTAACTTGATAGCATTAATGTGACAGAGGATGTTATTTGCCATAAAAACAAGCTTAACGTGAATATAGTACAGACTCGGAGTTAGGCATGAGCCTGTTCTACTGCGATGACTCAATTAATCCACCACTTTTCTGTCTTCAAGCTTCTGAGAAACCTTTGTTTCTATAGCATGCTATGATATCATTTGACCTTCATTTGGTACAGATGTATCATTTGAGAAACAGATCCTTCTCTATCTTTTTCTCACCCCTCAGCCTACTACAATTAAAATAGCACTACATGGCTATGGTAGGATAGTAAATACAAGTGCACATTCAGACACTAATAGTACATGGTGATTTAGGGTCACTCGGTAAGATCCAGATGATCCAGAATATGGTGTGTGTGTGTGTATGTGTGTGTGCCTTTGTGCACGTATGTATAAGAGACAGAGTTTTAGTTGACTTGAAAAAAAGAAACTTAGACTTTTATAGGAAACAAATGGAATCTCAAAGTCAGCCCCATTCCCCCAGAGACTATAGACTCCAATATAAAAATCACTCATCTGTAGGATAAAGACTATATTCCTCATGTTGGTATTTAAGGCCTTTATCGATTTGAATTGAATCTCTTTTCCTTTTTAATTTGTTTTTCTTTTCTCTCTTCTTACTGTCGTTTAAATATGCTCACACTTTCCCAGATTTGTGCCTTATCTCCTGTCCCTGTATAAGCTCATCTGTCCACAGCCTTTAAGGACCATTCATGCTTTTCATTTCCCCTTGAAGCTTCTTCCTATTTCTTCAGTTACAATTTGATTTTACTCCTTCTTTGAACTCTTGTTTGAATTCCTTCTGTATCTTGTACTTTGGCATTTCATTTCTTTGTATTAAATAATGCTGTTTATAATTGTTTGATTTTTATGTTCTCTACATCACTAGACTTCAGGGGCTTTAAAGGCAAAATATTATCTTAAAAGTTTTTTGCATAATCCTCAGAACCATTGTTGATATTGTTGAAGCATTTACTAAGGAAATCAAATGATTAAATTTAATGCTCAGTATTTGGGATTTAATTTAGTTTCTCTTGCAAAGTGTGTGTTTTTTAAAATATAGAGTATAAACAAAAAGTACTTTTCTAAGAAACTAAAATGTCTTAAAATTTTGTATTTTTGCACTCATTGTCCTTCATTTTCAGGACTGTTGGGAAAGATCCTGATGGCTATCCGAGATGCAGGTTTTGAAATCTCAGCTATGCAGATGGTAGGTACTTTACAATGAACCATAATATTCATGAGGATTTTTTTCAAAAATAATCATAAAATGCTTTACTTTGAATGTTCCCTGTGTACTCATGAACCACATTAAAAATAAAAGATATACTTACTGAACTCAGTAACCTTCCTATAGTCAAAAAATGGTTTTTGAAATGAATTTTCCCATATACTATTTTACTGAGAGAATTAATATTCAATGATACACCTAATTTAAGCTTATAAGGTAAGTTTATACAGTTCTGGAAACTAAAGTTTCAAAATAAATAGGGACCAAAAACTGTATTTTGTTCTTATAAACAAAATGTAGAATCAAAGTGAGAAACTGTGATGAGTTTTCTGTCTTCTGTATTCTTAACTAAACAGATAATGAAGGAAGAGACTCAGTTTTCAGATTTTTTTCCCTAACCAGTGACTTTTGCTGGTTTTTGAACTTTCTCTCAAGACATTCTTTGGAGTTAGTGTATTCCAGCACCTCTATTGGCACTTGTACCACTGGACCTTCAGAGCCCACGCTTATTCAAAATTGTGCTGCTCATACTTTCCTAAGAAACCTTTCAGCGAGAAACAACAGCCACTTTGGTAGAGGTCATACCTTTGTGCTGTACTCATTGGTACATTTGACTAGAAATTGGGTAACAGATTATTATATGAATCAGACAAACAATTTGGTTTTTACAGTGTTTGAAACCCAGCAAGTTTATGCTTTTTTGATAGTGAAATACCAAAATAGCCATTTTGAAGCTGAGAATTTTCTTACCAGTATCATTTGTATTTTCTTTTTCTGAAAAGAAACAGTTTTCTACAAAGTCTTAAGATTACCCAAAATCAAGGACCAGGACACAAACTGAAGTTCTATTTTGTGCCAATAAGCCAAAAAAAAAGGAAATAGTTTACAAAGTCATTGAGCAAAACTTGAAGACTAATGAGAAAATTGATATTTCAAGAATCTTATCTAGAATTATAAAGTAATTGTCAGCCAAAACTTTCTAAAAGTATTAGCTTGGTGATATATTAACAAGATTGTAGGATGACATGTGAGCCTATTTTAAAAAAATATAGAAATGTTAGTTTTAAACACGGACCTAATTCTAGATCTGCAGCTTAGCATAGTGATTGGTGATTGGGAAGAGTTTGTACTCAGTGAAAAAAATAATTTTAAAAATGGTTAACTGAGCCTATAGGGAAGGCATGGTAGTGTAGTAGCAAGCACAATCATTGACTTTTGGAGTCAGAAAGATCTATTTCTGAATCTTAGTCAGCTGCTTTCTAGGCACGTGGCCTTGGCCAAATGTCAGGCCTTCTTATTCTCAGTTTTCTCATCTAGGCAATGAAAGCATTATTATTTGCCTAAATGGGTTATTCTGCAGATTAAATAAAATAATCATTTCTGGCTCAAAATACTAAGTATTTACTAAATGATATCTTCTGTTAGTATTTTGTTGCATTTAACAAAACATATGTGAATGTAGGATAAAACACTGAAATCCGACAGAATTTCCTCCCTATAGTCGTAATGTTGCCCATAAAAATAAATCCTCACAGCTTAAATTATTGTCCGTATAGGCAGAAATTTCTCAGTAGGTCTTCAATCCTGGCAACAATAAACAAGCAAAATAGAGGGAAAATAAAATTGGGAATTCTGAGGCTATTTTTTAAAAAAATAAGGTCTTAGTTTTTGAGAACCTTAGAATTTAACGAAATTTTATTCCTAACTAAATTTAAATTCAGCCTTGATAAGAATAAGTCCTTCTAGACTTACTTTGTAAGCATATTCTTACTCATAATTATTTTTGAAGAGTAGCAGGAAGTCCACATGACTTGTATAAGTGCTTTATCACGAACCAGACTAACTAGGGATTTTTCCGAATGCTTGGGAGGAAAATAGTATTGTTCTCTGTCTCCTCTAAAAGTCTGAACTATTTTTCTTTAGTAATATTTCTTTCTTGTGCCACTAATCTATCCATAGTGCAATTAATATTGCATATAAATCTTCTTTTGTATCAAGAATGAGATTTTATTCAGAGAGAAGGTGTAGTGTAGTAAGTAAAAGTATGATCAATGGGGTTAGACTGCTTGAGATAGGATGCCAGTTCAAGGAGGTTATATGACCCCTCTGAATCTTAATAGTCTCATCTGTAAGGTGGAGCTATTAATACTACCTATGCAGTAAGGTGATTGTGAGGGCTAAATGAGATGATGCACGTACAGAACCTAGAATGATGCTGTTATCCATTGTTATTCTTGATGAGCTGATCTTTAATAACACTTTTTCTTCAAAGAGTAATCTATGTAAAGTATACATTTTAGAGTAAAGAAGATATTACAAGTGCTAAGTGCGGCTCCTTTATTTTTCTTTTGTTGGTTGGTTTATGGTTTTGTTTTGTTTTATTTTTTAATATAGTTCAATATGGATCGGATTAATGTTGAAGAATTCTATGAAGTTTATAAAGGAGTAGTGACCGAATATCATGTAAGTATAAAAGTAAATGTAAAACATTTGTACTGTTAAATAAAAAGTATAGGATTCAGTGTTTTGAGCTAAGCTCCTATCTAGGTCCCAAGTGGCCAGACTAAAAATCAATACAGAGTCATTCATACTAAAATTGTCAACAACCTAAGTTCTTATCTGACCTTCTGAGAAATCAGGAGAGAGCAAGCCAAATTTCCCAAACAGGCTAATTTCATTTAATATAATAATGAAGTTTTCTCTGCCTTTCATCCATATGACAAAAAGCAACCTGAGGTAACCTGATGTTAACCAGTCAGTTATTTCCACATTACTTTCTTCAAACTATATACCTTTCATATCTCCCAAAATTCATTGCAACCAGCCTGCAGCTTCCTAAACTCAATTCTCTTCTTTTTTCTTCCTGCTCTGTGGAGTCAGACACTATGTTCATATCCTAAATCCTGTAATTATGTGACCATCGACAATTTATTTACCTTCTTTAAACCTTGATTAACCCCTTTATAAAATGGGAAAATACTATTACCCGCCTTATGAGATTGTTGTGAGAATTAAATGAAATAAATTATGTAAAACAGTCTCATATATTAAAAGTACTCAGTAAATATTACCTGCTATTATTGTTGTTTTTATTATTATTTAGTCTGCATAATTCTTTAGTAGTAGATTCCATGTTGATCATTTACACCTATATTTTCTGCTTTAACATGTACAGTCATAAAAAGGTGATAATTCCTATCTCATACTGTTACTGTTATCCACTTGTATATATTGAGTATCTGCTATATGCCAAATAATCAGTGATGAACAAAAAACATACTGCCTGCATTTATGGAACTTATGCTCTGGGGAGGATAGACATTAAATCTAATGATCCTACACATAGTTACCTAAGGGCAACAGTCAAAAGGCTGTAAAGGAAACAAAAAGGTTATTTTTTTGTTTAAAAAATGTGTGACTTGGCCGGGCGCGGTGGCTCAAGCCTGTAATCTCAGCACTTTGGGAGGCCGAGACGGGCGGATCACGAGGTCAGGAGATGGAGACCATCCTAGTTAACACGGTGAAACCCCGTCTCTACTAAAAAATACAAAAAACTAGCCGGGCGAGGTGGCGGGCGTCTGTAGTCCCAGCTACTCGGGAGGCTGAGGCAGGAGAATGGCGTAAACCCGGGAGGCGGAGCTTGCAGTGAGCTGAGATCCGGCCACTGCACTCCAGCCTGGGCGACACAGCGAGACTCTGTCTCAAAAAAAAAAAAAAAAAAAAAAAAAATGTGTGACTTAATTAAAAACTAGGGTGACTTAAAAATTCTGAGTCAATTTTTGAAGGAACATGTTATACTTTTGACGAAGTTCTTTGTTTAACGTGTTTTTTTCTTTCCATTTTATACATTTTGATCAGCCTTGTATGTCTGTTTTCAATGGTATCTGTAATCAACACTGAAAGAGAATGAATGAGAGAGAGAGACATAAAAAGAAAAAAGGAAGGAGGGAGAGAGAGAGAAAAAGAAGAAAGAAAGAAACAAAGGAAAGAAAGGAGGGAGAGGGAAAAGAAGGAAACAAGGAAGGGAGGGAGAAAAGCAGACAAAATTTACTTTTCTGTTTTTGGAAAACTTGTTCATGCCTTCTGCTCCTCCTGAAAATTTGGCTCTTGACATTTATGTGTAGGCAGTACTTCAATATCATGAGGCAGAAAATTAGACTCAATATAATTATCCATAAAAAATCAATTACATATGACCTTTGTGAAATAACAAAATGACTTTGGGGGATACACTCAGGAACTCTAATGAGTAGAGTTATGAGTACCATATATTATGAAATCCTTTTCCTCTTCTTTTTGCTTCTGTAGTTTATATGAGGTAAGATGACTGCTTTTGGATCACTATTCAAATATATTCTGTAATAAATTATTTTACTTTGGTGTTGTGTATCATAAACCCTCCAAAGTCGTGAAAATGGCTTACATGACCCTACATGGTCTGGCCTCATCTCTTACTGCTTTCCCGTAGTCTCACTCAGCTCCTAGCCTCTAAGCTGATCTTCATATATCCCTACTGTACTTCTGCCTCAAAGTTTTTATATCTATTTTCACTTCTGCCTGAAGTATTCTTTGCTACTCAAGAGGGTGAAAAAAAAATATTTTTTGAGTGTTCTAGACACTGTGAGAGGCATTTTTCTTTGATCATGCTTTTCATTATACCATTTTATATAGAGAGCTAAGAATCTTAAAACAGTATACTTCTATTTTTCCCGTTATTCTGTGTGCTGTTGTTCTTATACATTTTACATCTATATATGCTATAAACCCAACAATACACTCCTAATGTTTTTGCTTTGAACAATTATCTTTGAAAGCAACTAAAAATAGAAAAAATAGCCAGGTGTGGTGGTAGGCACCTGTAGTCCCAGCTACTTTTGAGGCTGAGGCACAAGAATAGCCTGAACCTGGGAGGCTGAGGTTGTGGTGAGCCAAGATTGCGCTGCTGTGCTCCAGCTGGGCAACAGAGCAAAACTCGGTCTCAAAAAAAAAAAAAAAAAAAAGAAAAGAAAAGAAAAAGAAAAAGAAACCAACTAAAAAGAGCATTTTATGTTTATACTTGACATGTTTACTGTTGCTTTGTATAGATTTATATTTTTGTCTGGTATTTTTTCCTTCTGCCTAAAGAACTTCCTTTAATATTTCTTACGATGAAATGCTTCTGATGGTGAATTGTCTCAGCCCTTTTTTGCCTTAAAACGTCTTCCTTTTTTCTTCGTTTTTGAAAAATATTTTCTCACCGGGGTATAGAATACAGATTTACATTTTTTGGTAGTCATTGTTGTCATCCTTATCTTTTTCCCACTGTTATATAATATCCTTCTCCCCCGCCCCCCGCCCGACCCCCTGTCTGCTTAAAAGGCTTTTTGTTTTTGTTTTTAGCTAATTTTATTGTGATGCATCCTAGTGTACTTCTCTTTGCATTTATTATCCTTGGGTTCTGTTGGATCTATAGGTTTATAGGTTTCAGCAAATTTGGAAAGTTTTTAGCACTTATTTTTAAAAATATATTTTATGTTTATCACCTTTTCTTCTCTTCTGATATTCTAATTACACATATAATAGACAGCTTGACATGGTTGCACAGCAGGGTTTTTTTCTTCTTCTTCATTTTTCTTTCTCTCTATGCTTATTTTTGAATAGTTTCTATTGAATGTCTTCAAATTTATTGCTCTTCTGAAATGTCTTATCCTGTTCACCCCATTCAGTGTATTTTTAAATTTAGATGTCTTAGATTATATCTCTAGAAGTTCTATTTGGATCTTTTAAATATTTTTTATTTTCTCCTCATCATGTTCATATTTCCTTGTATAATTTGAGAATGTGGAACTTATAATAACTGTTTTAATATCCTTATGTTATTATGTCATTTAATTGCTGGGTCTATTTATTGAGTTTTCTTCTGGTAATTGTTAGTATTTCCCTACATATTTGCCTGCCTGGTAATTTTTTATTGGATGCTGCATATTGTAAAATTTACAGTGTTACATGGTAGATTTGTAAAGAGTGTTCAATTTTGGCCTGGCACTTAGTTAAACACTTGGAATCAATTTGAAACTTTTGAGTCTTGCTTTTTATCTTTGTAAGATGGGTATAGGGCATCTTATAATCTAGGGCTAATTTAGGTCAACTACTATGGTGCAGTACCCTTCTGAGGACTCTCCCTGATGCTCCATGTATCATATAAAAAGGCCTTTCACTCTGACTGGTAGAAACATAAACTCCTCTCAGCCTTGTGCTGTCTCTGAGTTGTTTGGTCTACTTTGTGGCAATTCTTTCCCCAGCCTCAAGTAGTTTCCTCTACACATGTGACAGATTAGTAGCCAAAGACTCATGGGAACTCCTCTGCAGATCCTGTAGCTTATTCTCTGCATACTCCCCTCACCTCTCCAGTATTCTTCCCTGAAAATAAGAGCTACATTGGCCTCCCCGAAGTCCAATCTTTGTCTTTTCAACTCAGAGAACGCTGGGCTCTGTTATGTTTCCTCTGCCTGGTCTACTGGTCTGGAAACTGCCTCTAGACAGTAAGACAGAGCAATTCTACAGCTCACCTCATCTGTTTCCATACTTTCAGGGGTCATAGACCTGTGCTGCCCATCACCCACTGTATGAAAACTATTGTTTCATATATTTTGTCTAGTTTCTAGATGTTTAATATGGTAGAATAAATCTGGTCCTATTATTTTCTTGTTGCTAGAATGCGTTATGATTCTTAAAAGGTTTTTTAGGATAAAACATTTGAAATATATTTAGTAATGTGAATTCAACAACATTGTATTCAAGAAGGCCTTTGCAAGGAAGATATACTAGAAGATCATTCCAAATAATGAAAGTATTGGATAATAAAACATTACATTAAAATGTGATAGGAATGGAGAAGAGAGAGCATATATAAAAAATATTCTTTAAGGAAAAATGGACAGAATTTGGGAACTGCTTGATGTGTGGGATATAAGTGGGGAAGAAGTCACAGATGACTTTAAGGACATTAGTGGAACAGTGTCACAATTAAAACAGGAGAATTAAAAATTGTTAAACTTCTTTTCATTCTTTTATATTAAATTTCATAGGACATGGTGACAGAAATGTATTCTGGCCCTTGTGTAGCAATGGAGATTCAACAGAATAATGCTACAAAGACATTTAGAGAATTTTGTGGACCTGCTGATCCTGTAAGTTATTGTTTAAAATATTAGCCTACTTTGTTTGTTATCTATTCACTATTTTAATAGGTTTATAATTTTTCCTTTCTTCCTTTAAGTAAATAATATAAAAGTGAATATAATATACAAAGTTTTAATTCAAAATGGCACTTTACAAAATTCATTTTTACATAACATTCAGAGAAAGATTATTTTTTGTTAACTTAGTGACAATATAGAATAGGCAGAAGCATTTACTATGGCATTTTCTTTTTTTCTTTCTTCTTACTAAATTGTCCAGGTAAATATGCTTTGCAAGCTTCATAATAGAAAGTATCTAAGGTATTATATATCCTTTGACATAGAGGGGCCATAAAGAAAGCTCTTATAATACAGTGGCAGCATACCAATACGTAAGTAAATATGGTCAATGGGACTTATATGAAATTTGGTGTTCACTAGTATACCTTTCAATTTGCTTTGGGTTTTCTTCCTAAAGCAAACTACTTTTTCTTGGACATTTGACTGTGTGTGTGTGTGTGTGTGTGTGTGTGTGTGTGTGTGTGTATAGGTGTGGGGAGGGTGACAAGTAGAAGTAGCATTAGAACACTGTGATAAAGCTCTATGCAAATATTAGAAACTGGATAGGATTGTGGGAAGCATTACTGATTTAAACACTAACCGTAATTTAAATGTACTGTTTCCTATATTTTACTATTATTTATAAGTAGTTTATTGAAGATGGGCAGCCAATTCAATTTAATTTTATTCAGGACATTATTTATTTATTTTTAATTTTTTTTTTTTTTCCAGACAGAGTCTCATTCTGTTGCCCAGGCTGGAGTGCAGTGGTGCAATCTCGGCTCACTGCAACCTCCACCTCCCAGGCTCTAGTGGTTCTCCTGCCTCAGCCTTCTGAGTAGCTGGGACTACAGGTGTGTGCCACCACGCCTGGCTAAGTTTTTGTATTTTTAGTAGAGACGGGGTTTCATCCTGTTGGCCAGGCTGGTCTTGAACTCCTGACCTCAGGTGATCAGCCCATCTCAGCCTCCCAAAGTGTTGAGATTACTGGCATGAGTTGCCGTGCCCGGCCATTTATTGAACACCCTTAGATGTAAGACAATAAATCCACAACATCTATCAAAAAATCATCTTGTGTGAAAGTGCTGCTAGATTAAGCCCAGTAGGGGAGAACAATACTCCTGTTTTCAATGTTCTAAAAGTGTGTGTATATATATTCACTCAGTAAATGTTCTTTGAATAAATACCTAGAAAAAAATGGGAATCAGCATTCTTTTTTCTTTTTGGGACTCTTCTTTCTATGATCATGAACCTGCTCACTCCCCAGCTCCTCCCCAATGACCCCATCCTTTATCATTCCTTGCTCTGTAAGTGATCTAAAAATCTAAAAGGTCTTTTAGAACACTTACAGTGCCACATACAAATAAGGATATTGTTATTTTAGTAAAATTCAAATGTTGGATTGTGTAGCAATGAAGCAGTTAATATGACCTGAAAGTAGTTAAGAAAACTTAAAGGAAGAGAGATATAAACAGTTGTTTGAAAGACAAATTAGGGCACAAAGAGAATGGGAAAAGATCTAAAGCATGTATAAAAACACCAGTGAAGGAATTTGCAAACTTACTATGGTGTACAGCAAGAATATTTTCTTGACTTCGGTGGGAAATACATAGCTGGAAGCACAAGGAAATACATTTTCTTAGATAGAGGAAATATGGTAGAGAATTCTGGTAAAGATGGGTATGATTTTAGCTTTAGAAGGCAGGATAAAAATTATAATTCTATTTAATTTGAATCCCATATCATAGGAAATTGGAATTCCTTGTATGCAGCTTAATTTTGACTATACTGAATTGTTACTTTGATGCAACTAGATCAAACTAAATTGGAAGAGATTAGAGACAGAGGCTCTAGAAATAGAAAGAGACGGACCTGATGACATCAATAGAGAAAGTTGGGAGGACCTCCTTTATATCTTTTTGGGGAGAAGGAATAGATACTTAAATAATACCTGTGGTTGTGATAGAGTAATGATTACAGGGTGACTCTGTTGCAGAGGACATTGAGAGAAATTGGTAATGATGCTGTTTATTGAAAATTAATTATAAGAAATTAGGAAGGGATTGATTTTTGGCTAGATGAGTAAAGGTAACTCAGTTTTTGCCATTTTTGACATTTTAAATTTCTGATTTCTGTTTGATGGGCAAGAGGGTTTTTTGTACTTTTTTTTAAGGTAAGTAAAACTGTGAGTGATCAGCTTGATCTAACAAACAGGAGTAAATTAAAGAGACAAAAACTGAAACAAAAAAGGAAAGAAATAAGATGATTCATTCTTTTGTTCTCTCATTTATTCAATAAATATTTATTGAGCCCATGTCAGTATTTGTGAATACAAAGATAGAAACCCAGGCTGGGCATGGTGGCACACACCTGTAATCCCAGCATTTTGGGAGGGTAAGGCAGGAGGGTTGCTTGAGGCCAGGAGTTGGAGACCAGCCTGGGCAATATAGTGAGACCCTATTGCCATAAAATTGCATATATATGTGTGTGTATGTGTGTGTGTGTATACACACATAATTATATATATATATATTTTTTCTATATTTTTGTTGTATATATTATGTAATAAAGTTGTATATAATATAAGCCTCAAAGATCTTAGCCTGTGAGTAAACAACTGTAAGTGGCTAATTTCCATGCAATATGGCAATTGCATTGTTAGATATTTGCAGGTACTGTGGGAACCCAGAATTATAGCACTTAGCCTGGGAATGTGTGAAACAATAGTTTGAATGTGTCCCCCAAAAGTTCATGTGTTGGAAACTTAATGCCCATATGTATATGTTGATGGTATTTGGAAGTGGGGCCTTTGAGAGGTAATAGGATTAGATAAGGTCATCATGGTGAGGCTCCCATGGTGAGACTAGTGGCTTTATGAGAAGAGGAAGAGAGACCCGAGCTGACATGCACACTCTTGCCCTATCGCCATGTGATATCATTCATCATGTTATGACACAGTAAGGCCTTCACCAAATGCTAGTGCCATGCTCTCAGGCCTTCCAGCCTCCAGAACTTACAGTTATTTCTTACAGAAATAACTTTTAAAAAATATTTTCAAATGCTCTCACTCAGCAGAAATACATTTATTTTCTCCATAAATTGCTAGTCTCAGATATTGTAGCAAAAGAAAATGGACTAAGATATGTGACAAAGGTCAGGGGAACCATGGCTTCTGAGCTGAATTGTAAGGAATTAGAACTTAGCTTAGTGATGAAGGTGGGAAATGATATGGTTAAAGTTTTGAATGCCTAAAACAGCAACACTTTGGGGCTACAGCAAGCTCTTTATTACTGCTGGAACTAATGTTCAGTGCAAGGAATAATAAAGGATGGGGTCATTGGGGAGGAGCTGGGGAGTGAGCAGGTTCATGATCATACAAAGAAGAGTCCTGAAAAGAAAAAAAAATGCTGATTCCCATTTTTTTTCTAGGTTTTTATTCAAGGAACATTTACTGAGTGAATAGTATGTGCAAGGCTCACTCCTAGGTCCTGTTGCTGGGGCATAATAAAGCTGACTAGAACACGTTATATTTCCTTAAGGACCTCGTAACCTCATGGTAGCTCAATCTTGAAACTGTTTCAGGGCCCTGAATCTTGTCTCATTAAGCATGGATGGCATTACTCTATTATGTTTTTTTGGTTCATTTTAGTTATTTATAAGTTCCTCATAGCATTATAGAAAGTTGCACCACAGGGATTTTAAAATTTGGGACTGATTTTACATGTAAAATGTTAACAGTGGTTGTCCTTAGGAGGTGGAAATATGATAATATTTCAGTTCTACTTTCCTATATTTTGCAAAATTTCTTTGAAGTCTTATATGACTTTTATAATAAGAAAAATGCTTTTTATCTTGAAACTTGAAAGTTAATGAACTTTTGAATGAGGAGGCATATACTTATAAGAACTAATTCTCTTGTGTCTCAGACTCCTGAGTTACATTCTGTTTCCAAGTGGAGATCCAGGATGTCAGGCAGGACTGTATGCCTTTGATGGGTGTTTTCAAATCAGAAGAAATACTTTAGTAGTTACATTCAAACTATGTTTTGAGGACGAAAAAATGTCTCTTTCCCTTTGGTCTCAGAATTTCAAAATCCATTTGATTCCTTTTCTCCATTCTTGTCTTTCCCCCTTTTCTCTCCACCTCACCAACAAATGGATATTGAATGCTTACTCCATGCCGGTAACTGCTAGGTGCTACTAGGTTTATGTTAATGATCAAGCCAGTACAGGTTTGTTTTTTGAAGAATGTATGATCTAGCTCTAGGAAGAGATAGAATCAATAATTAAATAGTAATCTTACCTTAAACAGCAGATGTTCCAGTCTATTCATGTATTATATTATCTTAAAATAATTTAGAAATTCATTTCTTCATTGCCTAGTCATTCCCATATCTAAAGAAAGACCCTTGGTGACAAGATGTGCAAATATAATTAGTGCTTGGAAGATGGCCAGGTACCTAATGGCCATACAATAAACGTTTGATGAATTCATGAATAAACTGGCTATATTGTATATATACCTAACATCTGGTACTAACTTATTATTTAAATATTTTTTCTATCAAAATGGGTCCTGCTTCTAACAAATTATTTTCTAAGATATAGAGCTATTTTATAAATTGATTCAAAGGAAAGTTCAGCCTAACAGTGACCATTAAATCAGTTTGTAACTATATATGTTGCAGATTGAGATCATTTCATCATTGATGTCTGTGCTTTTGGCATGTTCTCCCCCTTCCTGATCTTATAATAGCTGGAAGGAACACTCATTATGTATTAACAAAATTTCTTTCAGTCCCTCTAGAGGTGGTGGCCAAAGAGGAGAGTGGTGCACAAGACAATTCATTAGGGAGCGGGGAGATGTTAGACTTGTAATTTCTATTTACTATCTACAAAGTAAAATGAGATTAAGTTTTAATAAAATATCATGTGTGGACTGATAAGACT